GGACATTAGAGGGTCTGTGGAATATATGTTGTCTATGATCCCCCCTCTGTCCATCGCAGGAGCTTGATGAAGTCATCGGACATTAGAGGGTCTGTGGAATATATGTTGTCTATGATTCCCCCCTCTGTCCATCGCAGGAGCTTGATGAAATCATCGGACAGTAGAGGGTCTGTGGAATATATGTTGTCTATGATTCCCCCCTCTGTCCATCGCAGGAGCTTGATGAAGTCATCGGACAGTAGAGGGTCTGTGGAATATATGTTGTCTATGAGCTTGATGAGATACAAAATTTCAGGCTTTAGTGCAATCGTACACTCAACACGACCAACACTGGACGTGAAATATCATTCTATTGAAATACTTGAAGTGCGTTCAACCCTCAGCAATAAGCTATTAGAAGCACCCTATATACTGAGAATACTGAAAAATTAGAAGCATTTTAAATATTAGAAGTGCACGTCGCTTCCTATCACCCAACCATCAAAAGTGCACATAGTTTTATACAATCCAACCATCAGAAGTACACTTTGTTTAATACAACCCAACCATCATAAGTGCACATAGTTTTAAACAACCCAACCATCAAAAGTGCACATAGTTTTATACAACCCAACCATCATAAGTGCACATAGTTTTATACAACCCAACCATCAGAAATGCACATAGTTTTATACAATCCAACCATCAGAAGTGAACATAGTTTTATACAACCCAACCATCAGAAGTACACTTTGTTTAAGGTTGGGTTGTATAAAAATATGCTCACTTCTAATGGTTGGGTTGTATAAAACTATGTGCACTTATGATGGTTGGGTTGTATAAAACTATGTGCACTTTGATGGTTGGGTTGTATAAAACTATGTGCACTTATGATGGTTGGGTTGTAATCAGAAATGCACATAGTTTTAAACAACTCAACCATCAGAAATGCACATTGATGGTTGGGTTGTATAAAACTGAAATATTTCATCTTAAGTTTCCCCTTTTTTTTTCATATCTTCTTTCTTCCTGTCACTTTTCTTATTTATCTGATATTCTTACCAAAGAGTAACCTTCATTTGCTCTTTCCTTGTATTGTTTCCCTGATAAAAACTGACCTTCAAAACACTTGTGCGTGATTGAGAATGTATATTACTATATCCTAGTAATTAGAAGTTCGCAGCAGACGATAAATCATTTGTATAACAACAGATAATATATTTCTTGGCATGTATTTCTTAGACACCTATACCGTTAAAACTGAATTATATACACGAACAAGAGTTCAAGGATAAATATTTCGGATTGATGATTCTAAAAAATTCAAATTACAAGTTACAAAGATAATATATAGAAGTTTACCTGAATATTGGCCATACGAAGGGGAACCCCTGCCAAACACATGAGCACTAATGCAGGAAATATCAGGAAGGAGTGGTCTAGAGAAAGAGAAATTATATGCAAGCATTGTAGGGTAACGTTAGTGTATATATGTAAGTAATAAAAATAAATACTGTCTGCTATCAACTGAGCACTAGAAATTTACCTCTAAGTAACGATGTACAGTTCTGATGGTTGGGTTGTATAAAACTATGTGCATTTCTGATGGTTGGGTTGTATAAAACTATGTGCATTTCTGACAAAAGAAAAGTAAAACATAAACTGGAAAAGAAAGATTTGTGAAAAGAAATAACAAAAAATACTCAGAAAGTCAGATGATGAGGTGAAAGAAACAAACTGTTAAAATGTTAATAAGTGTGCCAATAGTTATTCATTCTTTTATGTAAAGTATACTAATATCAGAAGAATCTAACATCATCCTACAGTTTCGAGATAAATAAATTTGATCAGTTAGATATAATCACGAGAGGAATTTAATCTAATACACCACAACAAAGAATAACTTTTACGTCTTTGAAATAGTTCTTTGAATCTGCTTTCTTTTACAGATTGCTAATTTATTCCCTAAGATGCGGTCTACAATTATCACGTTCTATAGTGGAGCCTTTTGTGCATCAGCGAGTCTGTTTGTATTCCTCAAAGTAAGATATTAATGGTGTTTCAAGAAATATTTCATGTCTTTATGGGTTTTTTTTTTCACGTATATAAAGTGTAATATTCAAGTCAATGAAAAGAATGCCTTTCTGAAAATGTTACAAGAACATTATAAATGTTCTCAAAATTACTTTTCTCCCACTGCTTGTTCAACATCACCTTTTGGATCTTATCCATTTATGTGAATCCTATTGTCTACTTTTCCAACGTTTCTTACTATAAATTTCACCTCATTGGGTTAACCTCATCACTCAATTCTCCAACGTTTCTTACTATAAATTTCACCTCATTGGGTTAACCTCATCACTTAATTCTCCAACGTTTCTTACTATAAATTTCACCTCTTTAGGTTAACCTCAACATTTAGTTTCTAACATTTCTGACCTTATTAGAGTAACCTCACAACTTAGTTGTCCGTTTCTTATTATAAATTTTACCACATTAGGTTAACCTCACAACTTAATTGTCCAACGTTTCTTACTATAAATTTCGCCTCATTAGGTTAACCTCATCACTTAATTGTCCAACGTTTCTTACTATAAATCTTACCTCATTAGACTAACCTCACAACTTAGTTGTCCGTTTTGTACCATAAATTTTACCTCATTAGGCTAACCTCACCACTTAGTTGTCCGTTTCTTATTATAAATCTTACCTCATTAGGCTAACCTCACAACTTAGTTGCCCGTTTCTTATTATAAATCTTACCTCATTAGGCTAACCTCACCACTTAGTTGTCCGTTTCGTATTATAAATCTTACCTCATTAGGTTAACCTCACCACTTAGTTGTCCGTTTCGTACCATAAATTTTACCTCATTAGGCTAACCTCACCACTTAGTTGTCCGTTTCTTATTATAAATCTTACCTCATTAGGCTAACCTCTCCACTTAGTTGTCCGTTTCTTATTATAAATCTTACCTCATTAGGTTAACCTCACCACTTAGTTGTCCGACGTTTCCTCCTCTGGACCTTATTTCTTTAGATTAATTTCGTCAGTGACCTTACTTTTCAAACTTCATGTAAAAATGGTTAATGATAAATATTACAATAAAATAACCACTGACCTTAAGAGTTCAAAAGGTGTTTTATGGACAGGAATACAAAATACACAACATAGACCATAGTATGTTTCCATTCTCAATAAGACTTTGAATTTTTCCAACTGGAAAGTCACAACGTGGGTATGCAATACCACAAGCGGTACCGGTACTGGATCATCTCTAATCATTGACTTGAGCAGTTAGAAATTAAATTATTCTTCCCAGAATGTTCTCGTGGGAAATTTTTTATCACATCAAATACAAATTGTAAATTATCTGTAATTCCACATGGAATGACGATTATGGCAATGAATCAGTTGAAATATAGGCTTTCTATTGGTCATAAATTTAATGGGAGTCGGCCTCAGAAAAATCTATTAGCAAATTGTAAATTAGAGCATGTCAGAGGTGGACATGGAAAGTGGTCCCTGCATTTTTATTGATTGCTCTTTAGCCCCATAAGAATGAAGAATATAAAAATATAGCTTCAGAATATCAATGAGGAAGTTATAGAGAATTTTTACGTCACATTACAGTTTTCTAAAGGGTGGACAAAAAATCAAGGTGAGGAGACGGTTCAAGAACAAATATCCAAATTCTAACACTAAAGGAATTTGAAGATGTTTTTAAATATTTCCTGATATAATTAAGAACTTAAAGCGTATATATATGCATGCGCAGTTCGACCTAGCCGCATGCTAAGGGTTAATCACGCACGCACATACCTAACGTGCAATCAGTCACATAGGCACATTCACGTTCTCTTCCAGAACATGGGAGTCACCAATTGCACATATTTCATGTTATTGCCGATTGTCACGGTGAGATTCGCTAAACGACTGAAGTATGAACTCAAAACTACCACATCAAACATTTATAATTCTGTGAAAAGTGAAGCTGAAATACTAGAGGAGGCGTTTGGTAAAAACTCATAAGATGGGACATGTGATGACAGATATTATCATCAACATATGATATACCATAAACCAGTACTGGTAACACCGGTACTGACGGCCCGGTACCGGTGTTGATACTGGTACCGACTGCAAACCCTCATAATAACTGTCTATAAATATCACACCAATATAAATAACAACATCAAACCAGGTCACATCAATTAGATATAATATCACACCAAGATAAATAACAACATCAAACCAGGTCACATCAATTAGATATAATATCACACCAAGATAAATAACAACATCAAACCAGGTCACATCAGTTAGATATAATATCACACCAAGATAAATAACAACATCAAACCAGGTCACATCAGTTAGATATAATTTCACACCAAGATAAATAACAACATCAAACCAGGTCACATCAATTAGATATAATAGGGATACATAAGCTAACAATGGCTTTCAAGAAGGTACAAAGAGAACTATTAGGGCTAAAAGTAGTGTATTTATTTGTGATGAGCCTATTATACTGAGCAACAAATTTCAGCCCCTGGAAGGAAAACAAAGGGTCAGAGAATGATGTGGATGATAAGAAGGTTATTGTTATAGATGGCAAGACATGCGGATAGGATAGTTTGTGGGGAAAATAGGGAGAAATGAATCCGATTATGCTACCTACGGGCACAGGTGGAGGATATAACTGACAGAGAAGGAGATGTAATAAAGGGGCTAGCAGAGATGCAGTTTTTGTGGTGCATGTAGGGGCTAATGATGTAGGGAAAGGTAGGTCAGAGGAGATAATTAATAAGTACAAGGAGTTGATAAAGGCATTTAAAGAAAAATACCATAACTGAATTTTGTCAGGGAAACTGCCGAGAATTAACTTTGGGGATGAAGTTATAAGTAGATCACTAGGGCTAAATTCTAGGCTTAGGTTAGTATGTAAAGATGAGCAGATTGGCTGTTTGCACTTGTGGGATCAGTTCCGCAGAAGAAGGAAACCTTTTGGAATGGATGGTTTACATTTAAATGGGGTAGAGGCTGCCTTGCTTGCTACGGCTATTAACTCAGTGTAAGGGAAGTTTTAAACTAGGACTAGACAGTGGCAAGGACCAGGAAAACTAAATGCAAAAATAATAAGAGGCAGAGAAAAGTTTAGCATAGGAAATGAGTATAGAAGTAGTTATTAGGGTAGGTTTAATTGTTACTATTGTAATGCTAGAAGTATAAGAAATAAAATAGATGACTTTAGAGCACTGGTAGGAATGGAGGATTTTTATATAATGGGAATAACTGAGACATGGTTAAACATAGATGATTTTAATGACAAATTTCTTTGAAATACAGGTTACAGGCTATTTAATGGTTTGTTTGTTT